ATGGGTTGAAAGACGCAATATTATTAGATAGCAGCTCTCTTCTGATATCCTTTGGCAGGGACACAGAACCAAACTATATCATCTTCAAACTCTAGCTTCAGTGCAATATCAATTATTTTTTTAAAAATTACAAATCAATCCTAAAAACTAATGGTAATATGTGGGACCTAGGATAACCACAATAATCAACAACATAGTAGAAGGGTTTCATTGACTGATTTCAATACTTCTTATAAAGTTAACTATCAAGACGGTCTGATATTGGTATAAGGGGGTAGATAAACAGATCAATGTAGTAGAATAGAGTCCAGAATCAACCTGCACTGAAATTTTTAACAAAGGAGCTAGAAGAATGTTTGCTGACTTAAGTCATACTTTCTGAAGGTAAGAGGTGTGTCTAAAGGATGACATAAATCCACACCACTCAATGTATATACATTTTATTTCCTCAAAGAGGAAAACACATGGAAAAACTCAAAAGGGCAGAGCAGACCTATGGCCATTAACCTTGACAATTAAGGATCTATTGAGCACAATTTATTATAGCTTTAAAAGTGGCCTATATTTTCATCTTTTTTTTTCAATTTCTATATTGGGGCTGGGCACGGTGGCTCATGCCTGTAATCCCAGCACTTTGGGAGGCCAAGGTGGGTGGATCATCTGAGATCAGGAGTTCAAGACCAGTCTGGCCAACATGGTGAAACCCCATCTCTGCAGAAAATACAAAAATTAGCTGGGCATGGTGGCATGTGCCTGTAATCCCAGTTACTCAGGAGGCTGAGGCAGGAGAATCACTTCAACCTGGGAAGTGGAGGTTGCAGTGAGCTGAGATCATGCCACTGCACTCCAGCCTGGTGCCTGGTGACAGAGCAAGACTTTGTCTCAAAGAAAGAAAGAGAGAGAGAGAGAGAGAGAGAGAGAGAGAGAGAGAGAGAGAGAGAGGAGAAAAAAGAAAGAAAGAAAGAAGAAGGCAGGAAGGAAGGAAATAAATAAATAAATAAATAAATAAATAAATAAATCTGTATTGGGCTTGCCCTATGGAAACATTTGGAAACACTATTCTTTTATAAAATTAGTAGCATAAATTTACATGCTTGTTTTGAGACTGGCTGAATTTTGTTGGAATGAAGATGATGTCTACTAAGTTGATGAGAAACATTTATTTGAATCATTCCAGCACACATGGTGTGTTGGCTGTGACAGTGGCTTTCCACCAGCATGTAAGTTTGCAGTTGGCTTAATTTGTGGCTGTCAGTACTGCAAAATCTTTAGCTTAACACTTTACAAAAAACAAATAACCCAAACAAATAAAAATGTTCCTGGATGTGCCATGTGGTTGTTTTATATTTGTAATTCTTTTAGCCTTGAATCTGTGAACCCAGGACTGATTTCAGAGGTGGAACTTGTTTTGTTTTCCCTGTTTGGAGCCTGAATCACTCCTCTAGGAGTGGAAATAAACATCTATGTCAAGGTTCGATAAGAGCTTTTATACCACTTCACTTGAAAGAGGTGATTGAATCCCTTGATTTGGAATGTAATAAAATTTTACCATGGCCATTCTTTCTTTGTGGCTGAGAGTTTGAAGTTGAATTTGGGAAAAGTTCTTCCATATGGGAACTTACTATGTCACCCAGCAAACAGTCCTAATGAATTATATATGTTATATACAAAACATGCATGTAATATAGTGTATTATGTAACGTGTATGTATTATATGGTATGTGTATTTTATATAAATATTATGTGCTAGTAATATATAAAATAGATCCTATTACATACTTCTTTTTATCTGTCTCTCCCTATTTATTTATCTTGTCATCAGGTAGATCAAGAGAGCTATCCTTCCTCAGAGTACCTTGACTGGTTTTATGCTGTAAAGAAGCTTTACTTTCACTAACGAATCATTCCACTAATACATACTTGAGAAGCACAGATAGCTCTATCTGCATTCTCACAAATGGTGCTCTACCTCCGTAACATCCATGGAGACTGAAATCTTGACTCCCAAACAAGTGTGGGGATTTGGAAACCAAATGATACTCTTTCTCCTCCTCTCCAGTGTTTTTCTTCTTCCCAAAGTCCTTGCAGCCTGTCCTGTCTGAGGAGTCTGTAGACAGAGCTCTGGGGTGTATTTTTGGGAAGATTGACTGTACCAGATTTTACTAAGACATTTGGATTAGGGTTCCACTGAGCAGGTAGCTAGGGGAACAGAGTCATTTTACCTTCATATATTATAGAATATAAATGTACTTTATCTTTTGCTTTTAAAGCAGCTACTGAAGACTGATGTCATCTGAATTCCTGGTCTTATCTGAATGCTGTCTAGCTAATGGGAATGAAGAGAAGAGTTTTGTTTCTGTTTTTTCCTCGAGACAGTCTCACTCTGTCACCCAGGCTGGAGTACAGTGGCACAATCTTGGCTCACTGCAGCCTCTACCTCCCGGGTTCAGCCTTCCGAGTAGAGTAGCTGGGACTACAGGCGCCCACCACCATGACCGGCTAATTTTTATATTTTTAATAGAGATGAGGTTTCATCATGTTGACCAGGCTGCTCTCGAACTCCTGACTTCAGATGATCCACCCACCTCAGCCTCCCAGAGTGCTGGAATTACAGGTGTGGGGAGCCACTGCACCTGGCCAAGAGTTTGATTCAGTAGTATGTATGTTTCTCTGCCACTGTCTGTTCCATGGCCTGTGCCACTGTTGATGTCACTGAGGCAGGCTTTTTGCCCTGTACAGATGCTGTGAATGCTGTCCTCCCATGGCGTGTGCATGGGAATATTTTTTAACATTTGAGGTGTTTTAGAATGCAGGGTACGAGCAATTATCCACTATTAGTTATCTTTCGGTTCTCGTTTTTCCTTTTTTTTAAGTAAATAAATAAATGAGCTAATATTGCTTACTGCTAATGCTATATGTTATGATGTAATAATGTTTTCACAGTAATACTAATGCCTACCCAGTCTATTAATAAATCTTACTAATTGCTTTTATTTCCTGGCTCTTATTTTTCTGAGACAGTCTTTTTACTTTTTTGTTTTGTTTTGTTTGTTTCCTTTTGCAATCTGTTATTTTGCAATCAGAAAGAGTCATTCTGGAATTTTTATTTAACCTTTCTCACTGCTCTCTTCAACTCATTATTCCACTTGTCTTTCTAGTGCTCTGTTCCTTCCTTCAAGTAAGTTTGCATTTTCTGGTTTGGAATTTCTTTTTGAGGCATGATCCTTTGATGCCACCTAGGGGGCACCTGTAAGATTGAGGTTGCCCTGTGCAGTCTGAAAAGCTGCATTTTGATCTGGTCTGAATGGTGTGGCTTTCCTTGCATTGCTGTTTTTGTTTTTGTTTCCTAGTTCTAAGAAAAGAGAATCCTTAACACAATGAAGGTGAAGCATTTGAAAATCTTGGCCTTCATTCACCATTTAAAAATCTCCCTTTTGCATAGTGATAATACAGTAACACTCACATGCCACCTACCATTCACTCCACAGCATTTGGAGGACTTTAAGCATGTTTGCTTGTTTTCATTTCTCCAAAAATCTCTGAGCTAGGTGACTGCCACCACCATCATCATCATTATCCCCGTTTTTACTAAATGAGGAAACAGAAGCATAGGATGGTGGCATAACTTGCCCACTTAGGGCTGGAGGGAGAACCCCTGCTGTCTGACTCAAGAAACTACCGACTTAGACATTTTTGTTTAGCTGGTCGCATCCCCTCTGGTCTCCAGCAGTTTTAGATCATTTTTTTTCCCTGAGAACCATTTCCCCTTTTATAGGCTCCATTTAGCATTACATCTTCTGCGGTAGTGCAGAATTTCAAAAGTTGTTTTGGAGGCTAGGCTGAATACAACAGTAGGAAGAAGGGAAAATGAGAAGGTGTTTCGAAAGAAATGTGACCTGTGTTCTATTCTACTAGTTGAAAATAAGTGGGAAGGCTCAATCTAAATATGTTAGGAGACTTTGTTTGTAGGATATCAATAATAGTATGCACGGCCCTATGAAGGAAAAATCTATATAGTCAACTTTATTTTTAAAACATTTAGCCTAGGAATCAGTGTTGTTGCATAATTCAGTGTACTCAAAGAGTATTTATTATAAAGGTGTTCATATTTATGATGATGATAATTTACAATAAGGGTGAATATCTGTAAAAGACTCTGTGCATCTAAGTCTCTGCTAAAGTGTTGTTTTGAAAGCTCTAAAAACCAGGATATTATCTGATAAGGGTCCTAGGTAGAACTGCATTTGCCTGAGCCCGATCTCTGTTTGGATTTTCAAACCACATATTAGAGCCTTTGTAAAGCCTGCTGAATCTCAGCAAGTCTTTTGGTCAGCAAACCCATTATGTGGAGTGATTATCTCCATTGATACGCCAGAAAAGTTATTAACTAAAGACAAAATGCTGGCTGACATCAAAATGAATATGTTTACTTGCATCTATATTGTATCTGTGTTTCCACCCAGAGGGATATATAGACCACTTTTTAATAAGTGCTAATCCTCCTAATAGAAGTATTTTTAATTTTCTCTTTTGATGTGTATGAGTAATAAAGGAAGCACATTGCTTTCCCTAAGCGACTCCAAATTTCATTAGCTATGAAGCTCTTCTTTAAGCCATGATTTACTGAGTGTTTATATGCTACACATTTTATTAAGCACTCTGTAAGTAGCTCTGTGGCTAAATAGGTATCACCACCCAGTTTTTCAGCTGAATAAACAGGCTCAGACAAGGTCAGTGAATTGCCCAGAACAACACAGCTCACCAGAGCAAGAGTTGGTGTGAGCCCGGGTCTGCTGGATGCTGAAGCTCTGGGTGACCTCAGCAAGGCCGTTCTGCCCCTTCTTGTCACTCATGTTGGTGAGGAAGTCACCAGTGGCCCTGCTGTTTATCTCTTAATCTTTTAAAATTCTGCATGTATTCACTTTCCCAGAACTTTCTTGCTTCTGTGTCTTTGCTCAGCTTTGGGGCTCTTGACTGTTATGCCTCCCTGTGTTTTTCAGCTTTGGAGACATGCTGTCTTTCACCCTGACGGCCTTCGTTGAGCTGATGGACCATGGCATAGTGTCCTGGGATACATTTTCGGTGGCATTCATTAAGAAGGTAATGCAGAGTGTGCCTCTTTAGGCTTTCCTTACTGCCTTCTTTCATAGTCGTTTTTCTCTGCTTTGAGGATATTTCATAATTGTCTTCCCTTTAGTTCTTTATATTGAAAGATGGGTGTGTTTTTTTGTAATATTACATATATGGGGGTCAGGAAACCCAAATTCTATATGAGAACGATTGTAAGAGATAAGGGATTGCATGTGCGCACCCATAGCTCAGGCCAAATCAGTGCGTCACACTGTTAACTGCACAACTGTCTGTTCATTCCCTGTGCTTGACTCTGTTGGTTTCAAGACCTAAACAGAGTTTCTACTGTCATCCTTCTTGAACCTTTAATCTTCAACCTGGTGTCCACGGACAAGGAAAGAGGCAATGTGCTGATTACCTGCACAGCTAGGTTTGAAGCAGGGATATATGAGAAGGAGGAGTGCCTGGGACTGTGTGTCTTAGGCAGAGTGAGCCTACTTACTTGTAATCATGGTACAATGAATCTCTCAGACATCACCCAGTTCTACTGATTGTTCTTTTGGGAGAAAACAAATAAAGATGGACCTGGTGCAGGTAAAGGGGACAGAAGAGCTACCACCATTCCTTGCAATTGAATTGTAACGAATTTGCAATTCTGTTTCCATCCTTCTGACTAAAAACAAATAGTCTTGAGCTTGTGACTCTCAAATGTAGATTAAATCATGGACAATTATCATTTATTATTTTTTCCTTTCTTTGTATTTGCGAAATGGTTTATAAATTCATTGGTATTTCTCCCCCCACTACTGTATTAGGAATAAAGAGATGCTCAGAATTCATAACTTTATTTCATAAGTATCTATTACTGGGAAGGGTTATCTAAAATAGAGAATTTCAGTGAATCTGTGCAAGCCAGAAAATCAGAGAGCAATCCAGTAAGAGTCACTTGAAGTTTTTAAGCCTTTTATTTTAAAATAATGGTAGACTTAAAGAAGCTGAAAAACATCGGTCTTTGAGAGACCAAGGTGGGTGGATCATTTGAGGTCAAGAATTTGAGACCAACCTGGCCAACATGGTGAAACCTTGCTCTACCAAAACTACAAAAATTAGCCAGATGTGGTGGCATGTGCCTGTAATCCCAGCTACTCAGGAGCCTGAGGTAGGATAATCACTTGAGCCTGGAAAGCAGAGATTGCAGAGAGCCGAAATTGTGCCACTGCATTCCAGTCTGGGGGACAAAGTGAGACCCTGTCTCAAAAAAAAAAAAAAATTAGTACATAGTACAGAATGTTCCTATATACCCTTTATCCAGCCTCCCCTAATGTTAACATTTTGCATAATGAAAGTATGGTTATCAAAACTAATAAATAAGCCATGGTGCAATGCCAGCATTTGATTTCACCTGTTTTTCTATGAATGCCGTTCTCTGGTTAAGGATCTGACCCAGGATCCCACATTGAATTTGGTTGTTGGGGCTCCTTAGCATACCCCAGTCTGTGACAGCCCCTCAGCTTTTTCATTTGTCATTTATGACTTTGACACTTTTGAAAGGTACCAGTCAGTTATTTTGTAGAATGTTCTTCAATTTGGATTTGTCTGATATTTCCCTCGTGGTTCAATTAAAGAAGGTCATGCATTTTTGGCAAGAATACTACAAAAGTTATGGTGCATTCTTCTCAGTGCCTCCTTTCATGGGTACCTGATGTCACTGTCCTCTGACTGGTGATGTTACCCTGGATTACATGGTTAGGTGGCATCTGTTGGGTCTCCCCACTGTAAAGGTGCTGCTTTTTTTTGGGGGGGGAAGTGGTTAATCAGTATCTTAGGGGAGATGCTGCCTTGAATTGACGGGCATGGGATGGCCCTAATCTGTTGAATGAGGTGGATAGGATCAGAGGCCCCACAGGTGTCATGCTCGCACTGTGTTCCATGTTCATTTAAGACACAAGCTGACTGGAAACGCAGGGTCTTCTCAGCACAACTCAGAATCAACCCTCTTATGTAAATCCATAAAGTCAAGGGGGATGAGCAAAAGGAACCCTGCAGAAAACACACAGGAAAGGAGGAGGCCCTTTTTGCCTGTATTTGTCAGTGGTATGAATTACTTGCTGTAAAGGAAAGAAACTGTTATAATTGCCATTAAGAGTTACAGCGAAAACTGCAATTACTTTTGCACCAACCTAATAGCTAAATAAGCCAAAGAAACCCCTGTATGTTATAAAATACCTTCCTCCCACCTTCAGCGGTGGCAGGCATTGTGAGCTTTAGATTATGAGGAGAAAATAAATTGCTGAATTTTGCCTCTCTGAGATCAGTTCTAGAGAAGCAATTCCAAATCTGAAGATACTGAGTATCATTGATTTTTAATACTTAACAAACATTTTAACTTTTTGAATTTACAGTAGGCTTTCTTTTCTACCTCCAGAGTGCCCGGCTTGTCTGTTATGAGAGCCTCTTTTGCTATAGAATATAACAACAATGTTGTACTGAATGTGAATTCCTTGAAATTATGTTCTGCTTTCGCCAACATTAGCCCTTTTGATTCCCAACAGCAATCCTTTCCAGAACAGAACAGATAGTCCTGTTATTTCTGGTTAGGAGGCAGGGATGCAGTGGGTTGCGGAGGTTGAATGAGGTCACACAGTGAGTGGGTGTCCTTGGTCACATGGTCAAGGCGCTTCTCTCCATCATCATGCACCTGGTGCTTTCCTAGCGGTGGAAGGCATAGTTCCCAGAGCCTCGCTTCACCAGCCTGTCTCTTACATATTCCTCCCTGACCTTACTGCTAGAGTTAAGTGATTTCTTCTGCTCTCTGTTCCCCTGGGATCTCGTGAATGCCCCTATTCCAGCACTTGTCACATTTCAGGGAATTTTTTGTTCATTTGACTGTCTTTCCCAATAGACCATTAGCTCAGGAAGGCAGAAACACGGCTTTCTTCATGACTTTATCCTCAGGGCCTGGCACAGAGTAAGGTCTTAATATATTTCTGTTAAATGAATGACTACAATTTGCTTGGAAGCATTAAAAATACCCATAGAATTTGAAAAAGAGACAGAAAAAAGTGGTACTGTATTTAAATCTATTTTAAGTAAAATTTTGGTTATGAGTAGAAAGGAATGAGAAAGCTGTGTTTCTTTAAATGTGAGTAGTGGCCAGAGAGAATGACAGTCATTTAATTTTCTAACAACTTAAGAAAATGTTTCATTTATATAAATTAATTCAAAAATCATATTAAATGTAAGAAAACAAAGACTGACAATCTTGGTGGTTTAAATAAAAAATTAAGTATTTTTTAAAAAGCAACACATTTAATCTAGTTCATGTCCTCATTCCCAGTCATATTTTCTTTGCATTGCTACTTAGAGATCTCTTACATGAATTTAAAAATTGTCATCAGAAAATTACTTACTTTTCCGTAAGGTTAACTTTTTTATTCATTAGCTGGACCAAATTCAGCACTTTGACAACCCAGGAATTGTATGCTGGCAACTGTCTTTTAAATGGAGCTTTCTCTCAACAAAAATCGACTAGGAAATGGGCTGACAAAAGATGCCTATCTCTGTGGTCTGGAGTTGGCTTCCTATTAATGCCAAATTCATACCACTTTGGAGAAATATTTTTCCCTGCCAGCCTCTGTCTCCTTCTCTATTACTTTATCTGTTTTGTTATGTGTGAATCTAGATTCTAGTTTACAAATTTTGGCTGCAATAAATAGCATCATTTCATAAACAGCTCTGAAACTTGGAATCCCTTGATGCCAATATATAATGTTGTTGCTTTTTAAAGACTTGGCCACTTAGGGACAGGGTAAGAAAATATGGAGTAGAAAGAAAAGGAAAAGAAAACCAACTTTCAATGTTATGAGTTGATTTTTTCCTTGCCAAGTATAACATCAGTGCCTTCTTTTGGAAGGAAAGTTTCATATAAATGCTCTTGAAACCTCAGCTATGCAGGAGAACCTGGCTTACCCTCCAAATGTTTTCAGCGCCTGGACAAACATCCTGCCATTTTGGTTTGGAGACCTGGTAATTTTTGCCTCTTAAAAATTTGAGAAATTTATAGGCCTCTACCTAGATAATTGGATTATTGATTCATGCACTGTAATGCCTCTTAGCTTCTTAAAAGTTACATAAATAGGCTGAGTGTGGTGGCTCACGCCTTTAATCCCAGCACTTTGGGAGGCCCAGGCGGGCAGATTACCTGAGGTCAGGAGTTCAAGGCCAGCCTGGCCAACATGGTGAAATCTTGTCTCTACTAAAAATACAAAAAATTAGCTGGGCATGGTGATACACACCTGTAATCCCAGCTACTCAGGAAGCCGAGGCAGGAGAATCACTTGAACCCGGGAGGCAGAGGTTGCAGTGAGCTGAGATAGTACCACTGCACTCCAGCCTGGGCAACAGAGTGAAACTCTGTTTCAAAAAAATAAAAGTTACGTAAAATATTTCTCTGTCTTATTTAGCTAAGATTTTTAAATGAATGAACAGTACAAGGAGCTAATGTGTATAGTTACTGCTAATTCCTCTTACTTCTTCCTTTTGATATAGGCCTACTTTCGAGAAGCTGTACTGTGGCTGGCTTGGATTGGTTCACTTGTGTCAGCCGAAAGTGTAGGAATGGACCTAGGATAAATTGAGAGGCAGGGGAATCATTATTACTCTTTGGTGGGATAAAGGAAATAAAAATATGAATAGGCATGAATAACCTTCTGTAGCTATACGAAGATCTGTAGTTTTCAAACTGGACATAGAGACATTTGTCCATTAACTATTTTGTACATTCAGTTATAAGGAGTTGTTCTCAAGTTCCCTGGAGGATGACAATTATTGCATTCACTTGGATACCTTGGTTATTAATATTTATTAAGTGAAAGTATTGGGTCTTTTGAATATCTGGCTAAAACCAGTGACAAATAAGACAAAAGAAAGAAATCTGCTTCAACCTTGTGCATAGGACTCTAATGAACTGAGTACCCCAGGTGTGTTACACAGAATGCTTATTATGTAACATGCTTTAGGATTGCTGAAATGATTGGGTTCTTTATGTCAAGGAAGAGATGAATTAATAGAAAAATAAATTTTAAAGAATACTTTCATGAAAGCAAGGGATTCATTTCTTAGGAGAAAAATATATAGAAATAATGAATGGAAATGGAATATGTATGTGGGATATAAATATGCCTGAATTAAAGCAAAGACTGCATATTATTTTTACCATCATTGAGCAAGTCCACTGGGAGCAAGGAAGACTTAATGATTTATAGAGAACTTTAAGACCTATTATGAGAAGGTATATATTTCATATCAGAAAACACTGAGAGTAGGCTGGGAGCCATGGCTCACACTTGTAATCCCAGCACTTTGGGAGGCGAAGGCAGGCAGATCACTTGAGGTCAGGAGTTCAAGACCAGCCTGGCCAACCTGGTGAAACACTCTCTACTAAAAATACAAAAATTAGCTGGGTATGGTGGTACATGCCTGTAATCTCAGCTACTCAAGAGGCTGAGGCAGGAGAATTGCTTTGACCCAGGAGGTGGAGGTTGTAGTGAGCTGAGATTGTGCCATGGCATTCCAGGCTGGGCGACAGAGCAAGACTTCATTTCGGGAAAAAAAAAAAAAAAAGTTGTGATTGAATATTTTAGGAAAGGAAATATTGTAAAAAGGATATTTATAAAAGTAGGGGACTAATTCAGGGGGCAGATTTCCACTTGATGGAAAACTTGAACACAGAAGAAACTGCATGAGATTATGTTTTAGTGACACAGCAATGAATTGGACCACTGGGCTAGTGTTATGTGTATATACTCTGTATCAAAAGGGAGATATCTCAGATAGATCACGGATATAAAATAGGGAGCTGGAAATATGAATTACTAATGATTATGGATTCTTAGAAAACAGTGATAATTGGGAACAGAGGCATAAGAAGACAATGAGATTGATATTCCCCCCATTTAATTTTTGGCTTTTTTGGAATATCCAAATGGCAGCATCATTTTGCATGCCAAGAATAGGCACGCAGTGTAGTTTCTGGTAAATGCCTTTTTATCTGTCCTTGCTAGACTGTAAGGTCCTTGAAGTTTGTTTGCTATTTTCATTTTGTATTTCCAGCTCTGTGGGACAGGGTAAGCCTGTTGTGTAACACACAAGCAATGGATGTTAGTGGAATGTATCAATTAATGGCTGAGTAAATATTGACTGAATCAAAAGAGTGGTTGAAGATGGAGGTAGAGGTGTTTGACCATATCAGCAACAGCTTCTCAGGTACAAGACTCCATGCAGCCTTAAGGCACATCCAAGTTTAATAAACAGAGACAAGCAGAGGAGCCTGGGATGAGGAGAAAATTAGTTGTGAAAGAATCTGAAGCATTGTCAATGAGTTTCGTTATGAGTTCTTCAGTTTCCTAATACAGTGCCAAGAATTATGCTCAGAGCATGTAAAATGGTTTGGTGGGGTGGGGGAGGAGTCAGATAATTTATTCTCTGTTTAGAAGAGCCCTAAGTTAAGTATTAAATCCTGAACACACAGTGTGACAGTAACTGGATTTTTGTCAGAGGAAGATGGCCCTAGAGAAAGAAGGGTGGCTTTAGCGTGGTAGATTGGGTGGACTGGAGCAGACTGTGAGGAGTAAGTCAAGTGCTTGCCAAGGATAATAAACATGTTGGAGAAGTTTATTAGCTGTGAGAAGAGCTGAAGGAGTCTTTTGAGAACCTTAAAATTTTCATACTCTTCCTGAAGTTTGTATTTTAAAATAATAGCTCTTCAGAATGTAAAATCATAGTGTCGCCGTACTTCTTCCCATTATTTATTTCCCACCCCTGAGATCCAGATGTAGCTGAGCAGGCAGAGTGTTGGTATCTGCATCTCCCACCTCTCCTTTCACCGGGAAATCAGCAGACTAGGGAGAATTCGGATAGTACCTGGGATCTGCCACGGTGCACCATGAATTTATCATGTGCAAGGATGGAGAGGAACTGAGGCGAGTGATCTATGGGGCAGCAAAAAATGGAGAAATTAGTGCTGACGGGGGGAAGCAGCAAGTGTTTACTTGTCAGGAACCAAGTTATTTAGCTTTTAAGAAAGCAGTCATTATGCTGATAGAATAATGGCTTTTTATTGTGAGTTGTCAACAGACAGTAATAACTTTTAATGAGGGCTCTAAAATAAAACCTTTATGGTACCCATGTGTTGGGATTACTGCGATCCATTATTCTAACCCCTATTTTATTTTCCTCTTACACTGTGATTTATTATGTTTGGGGATTTAGTGATTAATTCCTTAGAGAATATATTTTGGAGCTCAAACTAGTATTTTAACTTTTAGCACTAATTTAAATGATTTTCTGTTTGCTAAATTTGGAAGAGATGAAAAGAATTTATTTTAACCATCAGAAATTGGATGAAAGGGGTAATGAGTTTTTAGGAATAGCAAAGAGAGTGGCCAGTGACTGAAAAATTGCCAGTTGAATTGTGTTGACAAGCGAGATTTGTGTGAGTCCCTTAAGAATGTAACAAGAACATAATAAGCACGTAAAAGTCATGGATCCTGTGGATGAAGGAGTAGCCTGGGAATGTAAGAAGAATGGCAATTAGCATACGTTGAAATTACCATCCCAGAGAAACATAGGAATCCTTACAATGTATGTGTTGAAATTGTCTGCCCCTAAAAGATGAAACTCAGGAGAATTGTCCTGGGAAAAACAAAGAATAATCTTTGGAGCCCTGTCTTTTTCAAAAAAAATTTGCATATCAGTGAATTACAGAGATAAGATAAATCATCCTTGGTAGTGATATCATGAACCATCCCTGGTTCAATGGATTTCTTGCTATTTTGCTGTAATTCCAGGTAATCCTCAGTGCCTGGTGTTTCTTAAATGAGTTCCCGATTTGCTTCAATTGTTCCCTTCTCTATGTCTCTGCTCTACTTACCACAAGCAGTCAATTGTGTCCCACTTGGATTTTCAGATAGCAAGTTTTGTGAACAAGTCAGCCATAGACATCTCGATCCTGCAGCGGTCCTTGGCCATTTTGGAGTCGATGGTGCTCAATAGCCATGACCTCTACCAGAAAGTGGCACAGGAGATCACTATCGGCCAGCTCATTCCACATCTGCAAGGGTAAGCATGCCAAGATGCTCTCAGGAGGAGAAGTGCTCCAGGAAGTTGGCCACAGTAATGCACTGGGAAACGTTTTGTGTTATTATAGTTTGGTTAAATGTACAGAAAAAGAATCTTGGCTGGGCACAGTTGTTTACGCCTGTAGTCCCAGCACTTTGGGAGGCCGAGGTCGGTGGATCACAAGGTCGGAAGTTCAAGACCAGCCTGGCCAAAATGGTGAAACCCTGTCTCCACTAAAAATACAAAAATTAGCCAGATATGGTGGCGGGTGCCTGTAATTGCAGCTGCTCAAGCAGAGAATTGCTTGAACCTGAGAGGTGGAGGTTGCAGTGAGCCAAGATCATGTTGCTACACGCCAGCCTGGGCGACAGAGCAAGAGTCCATCTCAAAAAGAAACAAAAAAGAACCTCATTTTGGCATATAACCAAACCATGTGTCACACTAGAATGGCATGGTTACTTTCCCTTAGCCCCTACCTCTCATTGAGCTCCAAGCTGGTTCTTGGCACTGCCTGTCCCCATGACTGGCCCATGGTAAGCTCTCCGTTTTGATGAATATTGGTAGATATTGGTAGAGTTTTACTTTTAATAAGATAAAACAGGATGATTTGTTCTCTTACGTTCTCTTTCCTAAACCATATAAATTAATGTTTTCTGTGATATAATGAGTATTTTCATAGTTAATTAGAAATGTAATGTTATGCATTTTTACTAGGAATTCTTAAAGGCAGGTTTTGTTCTTAGTTATGCTTAAGGTGATTCTAGTGACCTTCTTGTGTATTTTATAATAAAATATGGGATTTTTTTTTCTAGTGGCTCGAGCTATAAAATGGAAGTAAGATAGCTGTCTCTGCAGCCTGCAGTCCTTGGGGCTTTTTTCCCTGTCTTCCTTCCCTTAGGTAACTTCAGCCTGAGAAGGAGTCTAGTGTACAGTGCTACTTTAGAAATTATTTTGGGTTGCAGTGATAATAATGTGAGCTTTCTTACACAGGAAAGGAGGTTATTGAAACAATACAGGGGTACTGACAGAATCCAGAGATGACATAAGTAGCTAAGCCTTAAGAAGGAGAGAAACCAGCCAGGTGTGGTGGCTCAGGCCTGTAATCCCAGCATTTTGGGAGGCCAAGGCAGGTAGATTATGAGGTCAAGAGATTAAGACCATCCTGGTCAACGTGGTGAAACCCCATCTCTACTAAAAATATAAAATTAGCCAGGTGTGGTGATGCACACCTGTAGTTGCAGCTACTCGGGAGGCTGAGGTAGGAGAATCACTTGAACCTGGGGGACGGAGGTTTCAGTGAGCTGGGATTGTACCACTGCACTGCAGCCTGGTGACAGAGCAAGGCCCCATATTAAAAAAAAAAAAATGGAGAGAAACCATAGCTTCCTTGGAGTCCTCAGCAGCTGTCTTTTTCTCTAGCATTTTGGTTGGTACTACAATGACCCAACTCCCACTAGATCTTGCCCTGGTCCATTAGGTCACAATTACAAATTCTCAAGAGGAAATCTGATTGGCCCAATTTAGGTTGGTGATGCAGGGTGGAAATGGTTTTCTGAAATGTTAACTGTTGTGATTATAATATAAACTACCAAAGTAGATTATATTTCTTTCTTTTGGAGGTGAGAGGATGACCAGCATTTAAAATTTAAGTCACAGAAGCTGTGGATTGCATTGGCCTCAGTGATTGTGGTCTCAGAATCATAATTCTTCAAAATGATAGGTAGCTTCTCTAGAAATAAGACCAGTTTCACATTTCCTTTGAATGTGAAACATGTTAACTTTTTATGTTGTGTCTTTTCTGGGCATCTCGAAGGCACACATCTTCATCACAAAGCACATTAACAAAGTGGAGAGTTTATTATTCTCCAAGAACTGTGCTAAGGATTTTGTATGCATAATTTCATTTTATCTTCACAGCAATCCCATGAAATAAGTGTTCCTAACCCCATGTTGTGGATGAGGAAACTGTGCCTTAGGGATACCCATGAACTTGTCCAAGGTCACGGACAGCCTGTGATGAACCGGGCTTTGTACCCTATCCTAGCTTAGTTCTAAGCTCCACCTCTCTCTCATTGGCCTGATAAATTATTCCTAAATCTAGCTCATAAGTCACTCTTTGTTTATATCTTGAGTTCTCCTTATTTACTGTTTACGACATGCCTTACATTAGATCTTTGTTTCATTTATTTCTGATTTCTTTCCAGTGAAAATCAGATTCAATCACCTGTTCTTTTTGTTATTAAAATGTTTATATTTGGAAATAGATTTTTAGAATATGTAATAGAGCCATGAAGACAAAGTAATTTGCTTTAATTTCTGGGTGTTCAGCACTGAGCAGTGTACTGTTCAGCTAGTGATAGTAGTTGTATATTTACCATGTTTCCAGCCTTGTGATGGTGGAAATGCATTCTCAGTGCTAAATGCATTTTTTAGGCCCTGCCTTTCTCTCTCACTTTTTTGGGGAGGGGGGACAATTTTTAGCCTTCTCATGGTTTGACCCAGGACAGGCCTCTTCTAACTTTCTGTTCTGATTTTGTGGATTGTTCTGTGTCTTTTTACAGGTCAGATCAAGAAATCCAAACCTATACTATTGCAGTGATTAATGCACTTTTTCTGAAGGCCCCCGATGAGCGGAGGCAGGTGAGTTGCATTTTTTGTCTTATGGCTATGTCAGGGCTAGGAACTTTGTGTGCAGAGAAGACCCTCTCCTTCCATCTGGTGGGGGGCACCTCTTGAGCCACTCTGCTGCCCTGGCTGCAGATGGACTCTACAGAGCAGCTATGTTCTGCTGCATGGCTGGGCTGCTGGGATCCTTCACAAATCCAGGGGGAAGTGCGTAGAGATGGGTAAGCCCTTGGCTGATGAGGGATACTAGGAGTGTTCTAGCAGTAGAGGCCTTTCATGAAATGAAATGCAACATGGAAGCCCAGATGTAAAAAGATGAAAATGTTGCTGCTGTGGTGGAAGCAGAGTTAGGAGCCCCCGCGACCTTCTGTCATTTCATGGGATGCTCACTAGGACAACTGTCCTCATTTTCTAGATCAGGAAACTGAGCCCCTGAGAGGTGCCATGTTTTTCCCTGGGAGGGAGGCAATGGAAGGTGAGAGAACAGGAGGGAAAATATGCAGATGGCTGCTCCTGGTGGAGATAACTGCACTCATATGTCAGAGGGGCTCCTTGCTTACTACGTCTGTTTGTGGTTGTGGCTGGGAAAATGGAGCCATCCGTTTCCTCTCCTTTGTATAAAAAGAACCAGGCATGGTGGCTCATGCCTGTAATCCCAGCCCTTTGGGACACCTAGGTGGGAAGATCACTTGAGGTCAAGAGTTTGAGACTAGCTTTGCCAACATGGCAAAACTCCATCTCTACCAAATATACAAAAATTAGCTGGGTGTGGTAGTGCATACCTGTAATCCCAGCAACTCAGGAGGCTGGGACAGGATAATCACTTGAACTTGGAGACAGAGGTTACAGTGAGCCTAAATCGTGCTACTCACTCCAGCCTGGGCAGTGGAGCAAGACACTGTCTTAAAAAAAAAAAAAAAAAAAAAAAAAAAGGAAGGACCCTCTTAATGTACATACATGGAACCTGTCCTTTGATGGTCTCCTTTGCCTGGATATCCCTCATTCCTTTTTTTCACGAAGGAAAGGGCCATTACAGAAAGGATCTGAAGAAGTGGAATTTTGCCTTGTCTTGGAATTTAGCTCGCACCTCAAAATTCGTTCAGACTTTTCTGTCAACATGTCATGTAGTATGTTACCCTGGTCACAATTTCCTTCCTTAAAAAATGAGTGGAAATATGAGCTCTTTCGCTCACTTAGAAAGTATGGTAGTTGCCAGTGAGTTAGTTTGGGAATTAGAAAGCAAACCTGCTACTGAATGCTATGGCAAGAATTTTTTAATTTTATTTTACTTTTTTGTTGCCAAGTATTTTAAATCTCAGTGACTAAATGTGAGGGGTTCTGGTTTGTTTTCCATTTAGAATTTCTTGTTCATTCCCGGGAGGCTTTGTTTGCACAGGAGTGGTGTCACTTTATAGTTTCCTGGTTGTTTGATATGGTGTTTGCTGGAGCCAGGTGGAGGTGCCTGCCCTCTGCAAGTCTGAGCTTGGGCACTCTTACCCTGGCTGGATTTTTAAGAGTGGCTTTGTGGATCGGAGGTGAAATCATGGATAGGGCTGCTTCTGTGATGTTTTAATCTACATATCAAGCTCATGATAACTCCCAAGCAGCCTGGAAGCTTTCTGGAAGCTCTTACTGTGTATATTCACAAGCTTGACGTGGGCATTGGAGGAACTGGGTCCTTCTGCTGGCCAGATCGGGGACTTCTGGCCCAGCCACGTGGTAGCCGAGTGTAGCATGCGGGGTCAGGCAGGCTGCATTCTGATCTCAACTCTTGGATGTTTCCTTTCTCCAACTGTGAAAGAAGAGGATGGTTTAGAGGAGGTGAAAGTTCATGCCTACTCAAAAGACCATTGCACTTGGATTTCTGAATCTAGACATGAGTAAAATGCATACATGCGCATCTTGTTTTATACCAAGCACTACTGTTCATTTATTAAATTGGACTCTCATGACCATGGACAAACAGGGAATCAAATGTCAATCTGTACTGACTTCAGGACATTGATAATAAGGGTAATATAATAGAGTATCGATATAAGATTAGGTTTGGATTCTGAGAACTAAGTCTATTTTTTTTTTGAAAACTATGCAATGTGAGACTGACAGGAAGCAGTTTTACTATATATTCTTCTAATAAACCACCACAAAGAGTAATAAACCATGACAAAGAGTAGTCTCACAACTTTAAGCCATTTAAGAAAAGATTCCAACTAAGAAAAACTGTGTATAATTCAGCAGAAATTTATAAAGTATTATGCGACTCATTCAATCAAGCTCTAGAAATAGCTACAAGGTATTTAATTTACTTGCCCATGGAAAAGTGATGTGGACTTCATAAACTATAAACCCTTGAAATTAAGAGTGTTGTTTATCAATATAAAGGGAATATCATGATTTTTAGATTTAAAAAATTTTTAAAAAGAGATAGCTCTAAAAAGGGATTTCAGGTTCATAATGAAGAAAAGTTTGTTGGATATTATTTTCTGAAGGTCAGTAGAGCCCTGTAAAGCAGAAGATTAAGCTAACTGGTGATACCACGTGGGTTGCTGTGGATCGTATTAACAGCTGAACATGTACACCTTAGTCTGGCCCCTGTGTTCTAATTTCAGGTGGTCTGAATTTGATGGTGGCATTGTTATTGCATATGTTCTGAAAAATTAAAAGCTCTGAATTTTTGGCAAATAGGAAAATTGACCAAAGTCAGCCATCAATGATAATATTATTGAGAGTCTGGCATGTGTCAGGCAGTTTTCAGTATTTTATATTACCTTATTTCATTGTATTGCCATATTCAGAGAAAGCCACATTATTTCTGTTTTATGAATGAGGAAATTGAGACTCAAAGGGAGTAAAGAACTTGACCAGGTCACTGACGGGTAAGAATCAGAGTCAGAGCCCCAACCTTATCCCTGCTTTTACCTGCAAAGTGTCCCGTCCAACGCCTGTCAAAGAGATGTCATTCACAGAATTCTCCTGTGTTTGCCAAGCGAACAACTCTCTGAAGCCTGGATAATACCAAGCACATTTTCTCAGTCCAATTAGACTGAAATATAACCTAAACATTTATTTTCTGGATTTGCAGGGAACACTATTTTTTGTTTGTTTTTTATTTTATCTGTTTAAAGCCTTAGGACATTGGGTAGATTCCACTTCAAATACTTACGTAAAACTTCATCTTTTTTTGACTTGGGGCCAGACACATTCATAGGACTCCATTATCTGGGTTTTCTTTGAATTTGGAATGCTTTTAAATACTTATATCTTATTTCTGCTGTTACTGAAAAACATGCCACCACGGTCACAAGGACCGTGCATCCGTGAAGTAGGCCTTACTGAGAAAGGCCTGTCCCGGGGCCTAAGGTAAAACTTCCTCCGCTGGGGAAGGGAGTTCCCTCCTAGGGTTCCCTCAGGGGTGGAGGCTCTGCTTTCCCATGCCTCTGGGCTGCAGGAGATTCCTGTTTCCCTGCACAAATGGAGGGAAGGGCCGTGCTAGTTTTGTTGGTGAGGGTGCCGCTGTTAGGTAGGCAAGTGGATCCTTTTTCTTACAACTTTTGCCATTATTCAGTTCACTATTTCAATGGCAAATATGTTGGCGAGGTCCCTTCCAAATTTCTCTACGGATACTTAAAAAACTTGTTAGTTAAAAGATTTGGTAGAAAAATCAGAAAATACAGATGGAAAAGAAATAAGTTTGAAAGATTCCTGTAATTATATTCCCAGAGACAGAACCACTGCAATTATTTATAACTCTTGTGAGTTTCAAAGTGCCACTTACCCATCTGTTCTGTGCAAATATTCTCCTAATACATCTTTTTTTTTCCCCCACCAAATGTGAGCATACTACTTGCATTGTAGTTTTTAAAACTACTTTTAAAACTAAATAATATTTTGCGGACATCTTTCTATGTCGGTCTATCTAGATTCTTATTTGTATCTATCTATACTTTTACATAATTTTAATACTGTAAAATATTCCCCATAGATGCTCACATTTACTCCAACAATTCCTTAGTATTAGACCAAAAAATGTGGGCATGGCTATTTCTGTTTTCTCTTTGACCAAGCTACTATTCCTTAGAAGGCTAGTATAAAATATTTATTTGTTATTTTATCAAACATTTATTGTCTTCTCTGTGTCAGACATTGCACTTTGGGCTTGGAATACAAAAAAGAATAAGATAGTTTCTGCTTAGGAGGGACCCACAGTCTTATGCAGACAATAAATATTACAAACAAGGCCGGGCGCGGTGGCTCAAGCCTGTAATCCCAGCACTTTGGGAGGCCGAGGCGGGTGGATCACAAGGTCAAGAGATCGAGACCATCCTGGTCAACATGGTGAAACCCCGTCTCTACTAAAAATACAAAAAATTAGCTGGGCATGGTGGTGCGTGCCTGTAATCCCAGCTACACAGGAGGCTGAGGCAGGAGAATTGCCTGAACCCAGGAGGCGGAGGTTGTGGTGAGCCGAGATCGCGCCATTGCACTCCAGCCTGGGTAACATGAGTGAGACTCCGTCTCAAAAAAAAAAATAAAATAAAATAAAAATAAAAATAAATAAATATTACAAACAGATAATTAAAGTGATTGCTGTAGTAGAAGTTGGACATACATTGTCCCTTCTAACTTTTAATCTTATAAACTGGCAGGAAAACATAGGAACAGATAATATTTTTTTCTGTTTTTATTTGTGTGCAATCATTTAATGTTTTTAAATGAAAGAAATTAAAACAGCTGTAGGACCCTTTGAGGCTTTTATTTGTCATCTGGTCTAGGAGAAACACAAAACCATCACCAGTGGGCCTTTCTCTTAAGATCAGGAAGAAAGCACGGTTTTCTGTGCCTAGTGGAAGGGAAGGTTCCTTCTGGGTTACCACTGAATTTGTCTCTCAATGCGTCATAGCTCCTGCTTTCTTGTTTTCAAGAGTGTGGAAGAAAACCTGGTATTGGATTTTGATTTGAGTGCCATCTAGCTTTTTTTGAGTCACCTTACGGTATTTAAGCAAGTTTCAATGCAGTGGGTCAACAGGGGCGTTCAAATAAAGTGGTCAACCTCTAACAGAGTCCTCTGAATTTCCATCCCTTCTTCTCTCCTGCTTGCTTTCCTTTCTGTGGTGGCGATGACGCCGTTAGGTTGATGTAGAGAGCAATGTTGACATCCTTGATTGTCCTCTGACTGTAAGTCACCCATGTTCTCTTTGTCAGCGTAAAGTGGGCCCCGCTCTCCTGTGCTGCTCCCGTCCACCCCTGCTTGTATGCCCACCTCAGAATTCTCTCTCACCCCCATGTTCTTGGTTCTCTTTGCTTTCTGCAAGTTTGTTTTAACCTTGGTAGAAATCATGGTTCTGTTTTTAAACCGTAGCTTAGTTTTTTCTCTACTCAGTAAGAGTAGCAACACCAAAGACACCCCCTCCCACAAAACAGCATTCAGTTTCTTCCTGAATATGAGCAGTATTTTTACTTTACAATGCGTGCACAAAGACTGTCCTTGATATTTTATTTTCCCTTAGTCCCCACTTGTCAATATTTAAAAAGGGTGTCTGTGCATCATTTTCTTTAATAAAATCACCCTTGAATTCTCCATGCCAATCAGGAGATGCCAAAGCACAAAGCACAAGCTGCAGAAATGAGGCCTTGCAGAGCTCAGTGAGTGTAGGCTCTAGAGCTTTGCATCACCCAGATATTTGCCCTTCACTTAAATTCCACTCAGATCACTTGTGGAGCATGTATATGTATTACTTACTCTCTGGTTTTGCACAGATTTAAATGAAATGACTTTTAGAAGATACTGGAGTCTCCTTGCTACAGGCATGTGTTGCCTAATAAACGCTTTCTAGGCCGGGCATGTGGCTCACGCCTGTAATCCCAGCACTTTGGGAGGCTGAGACAGGTGGATCACAAGGTCAGGAGATCGAGACCATCCTGGCTAACACGGTGAAACCCCGTCTCTACTAAAAATACAAAAATTAGCCGGGTGTGGTGGTGCACGCCTGTCGTCCCAGCTACTCGGGAGGCTGAGGCAGGAGAATCTCTTGAACTCGGGAGGCGGAGGTTGCAGTGAGCCAAGATTATACCACTGGACTCCAGCCTGGGCAACAGAGTGAGACTCCATCTGGGGGGGGAAAAAAAAAAAAAGAAAACAACCTTTCTGTACATTTATAGTCTAATAAAAGATGATGAGGCTTTCTACTAGAGAATTGTTGCCTTATTTGGAGTGCCTGATTTTTTTTAGCACCCACCTTTTTCTGGAAGGAAGAGATTCCTAAAGAAAAGAAGTTTGCAGTTGCCAGATTTCTTTCCTTTGCTTTTGGACATGGCTTTTACATTTCAAATGGAACAGTCAAGAAAATAATTTGAATACCACTGCTTGTTTGAGTTCATTATTTCATAAGAAATACTGCTGATATACAGTTACGAAGCACACCCCAGGATAAAGTCATTTTTGGCCACGTTGAAATGTATCTTTCTAACCTAAGCCCTTGTGTGGGTGTGTTTTTCTTCCACAGGAGATGGCGAATATTTTGGCTCAGAAGCAACTGCGTTCCATCATTTTAACAGTGAGTACCTATGCGCTGTGACCTCTTTGACGGGGAGGAGTGGCCTGGTGCATTTATTAATTTCTTCTTTTGGCTTCAATCTGTGGTTTGTTCTGTGACTTGCTTCTGTGGTGAAGCAGTAGGAACTCTAAAGAAGGAAAAAGTGAGTTTTTGGAATTGGAATAAATATGGCTTTCCCACAGGAATTGCCTCATTGGGTTGGAGGGAGGAGTTTCTGGAACAGCTCTGGAGAAGAGAGGAAGGGGGAATACATTCTGGCAGGAAGGGTTGGATAGCTCTCTCAGTGGGGCAGGTTAGGGAAATCAGGGCTTAAAAAATTCACCCTGATGAGCTTTTGCTCTTTTAATGAGGAAACTAGCTGTAAACATATCAGGTACCAAGAGAAGTCCTGCAATGTTGATCATCAGTTTTGGGGGCCCCTTGCAAGACAGAGGAAGGAAAGTATAGATGGGAGCCACTCATTCACTGCAATGCAAAATGCCCTTAAACCTTGGTGGAAAAAAAGCCCTAAGTGTCACCTTGCAAATGTTTAGAAATAAACCAAATAACAAGATTTCCTGAGTCCTTACTAGGTAATTGACTTGCCAGCTACTTGAAAGAAGCAGGTTGATTGATTGCCCTGATTACAAAAAAAGGGTAAAAAGGAAAAGAAGAATTAAGAAAGAAAAAGAAAAATTTCTATTTGTGTGATTCCAAAGAGCAGGTCAGCAAGCTTACAATTAAAAACACTTGGTTCTCAAATGCAGGCTTTATTATCATTCAGGTATGATGAGGCCAACAGATCAGGAGATGGCTGGCATTAAAAGAAAAGTTTGTTCATTATAGTTCCCCAGAGGTGAGGCCAGGTAAGCTGGCTGAGCAGGTTTAGGATGGGCTAGTTTGAATAATTTCATTGGGCTCTTATGGGCTGTCTCTAGTTGTCTGGTAGTTGGCCCTGGGTGGTTAGGACAGGAGAATAGTGGTCCCAAGAGTATGAGCCAGAGCTTGTAGAGGAGTGGGGAGTGGGTGCCAAGGCCCTGGACTGGCTCGTTTGCATATGAAAAGAGTCATTTATTATCTCTAGGAATTGGCTAGACCTCAGAGGGGCAATCTCTCCGGGGTCAGCAGGGTCCCAGATGTCAAAACACTGGAAACGAACAGCTAACACACACACACACACAAACACACACACACACACACACACACACACACACACACACACACACACAATTCCTCCTCCCTCCCTGACCAATGCAAGTAAGCCATCAAAAGTTAATGATGAAAGTAAATGTTCTAGAACCCAACGTCACACACACATGCACACCCTATTCCTCCTCCCCCACCAATGCAAGTAAGCCATCAAAAGTTAATGATGAAAGTAAATATTCTAGAACCCAAAGTCACACACACACACACACACAGAGGCACGCACACGCGCACTATTCCTCCTCCCACCCCCACCAATGCAAGTAAGCCATCAAAAGTTAATGATGAAAGTAAATGTTCTAGAACCCAAAGTCAGTGGTAATGACTGCAATTTGTGATGAAGTTAGTTCAATTTTAAACTTTCTGGCTGTCAAGGATGACAAGAAACATATGAGTTTAATTTTCATTGTTTGATAAAAAGAGGTCCCCCAGTTCTTTGGGAAAGATAAACCTTTTCCCTCTGGAACTGAGATCTGAAATGAATCTTGGGGGAGTGTCTTAGTAGATTCTAGGTCCAATTATGGTTTTGATTAGTAGATTCTAGGTCCAATTAGTGGTCTTAGTAGATTCTAGGTCCAATTATGAATCTTAGGGAGTGTCTTAGTAGATTCTAGGTCCGATTAAGGGCAGTATTCATAATACTGTCCTTTATATCGGCTCTCAATAAATGTAGAAGCCAGAGTATCAGCGTGTAGCTCAGTGTCTTCATGTTACCTTGATGTGGCAGTCAGGGTTAGAATGCCCTGAAATGAGTGGCATTAATGACTATAGCCACCCTGTCTCAAAAATCAGTTTGCCTAAATGGGAATTCTTTTATGAGATGTTGATGGCTGAAGTTCGAGGTTGGTACTCTCCTGCAGGAAATTGGAGTTTAGTACTTTCGAGTTACTGAGAAAATAGATACCCATACACTTTGGATACTAAGCCTGTGCTATGAGTTAACATGCTGTTTTGAAGATTGAAAGATACGGGGTTTGATTCGCTCCTGACCATCCCATTGTCTAGCTTCCCTGCTTTTCCTAATTTTGGTTCAGTGACTTTGCATTCCCTTATTCCTCCTTGTCCTCGTTCTTCTATTCCTCAGTCTTCTCCCACCCTTCCTTCTTTAATTGGCTATTTCAGCATGATGCTTACATCCAGGCTGTGGATTGCAGGTGCATGCCAGTTTGGGAGGCACCCAGGCAGCACTCTAAGGAACTAGACTTCCTCCAGTCCTGGAGGAAGATCATTTTTCTCTGCACTGGACAGCTCTGACATTTACTGAATGGCCATTTAAAAGCTAGTTTACAGTAGTCTACACAGGAGCAACTACGGATTGCCAAGAGAAATGGTCTTTCATATAGCAAGGCGTGACTGGGGCTAGTACACCCAAAATAACTGATTGGAAGGGTGTTTCACCACATTGATCCATTGTTTGGCATTTTTAATGTACAGCCGGAATCTCTGTTGAAAAGGCTGCATGTTAGTCCCAAATGCTGAATCTTGAGTTGGTGGCAGCTGTCCCATTTCTGGGCAGGAGTGAGGGGGTTGACAGTGGACCTATCCAGTCTTCCTGTCCTGCCACTTCTTGTACGTTTGTTCTGTTTTCAGTTCTGTTTCTATGGGGAAGAATTATTTTAGCTTTCATTTAATTGTTAACAGTGAGTAAAGTAATTCACAAGCATTTGCTCACTGCCTTTGATGGTAGACGTCCTTGTGTAGCTCCCACAGTAGATTAAGATTTGATGGGTATTTTGCTTTTGTATGCTCCTTCTAAAACTTTTCCCCAGTTTGAAGTGGGCTCACCTGTCAGAGACAGTCCCAGGGTAAGATAATGGCAAGATTGCTTACTATGGGTATGCACCATTGGTTTTTCTGCTGCATGTGACAGATGCTTCTGTTGTGGAAAGCCCACAGTTGTTTTGCAGACACCCTCATTTCAAGCATATCTTCTCTTGACTTATATGGCTGCCATCACCAGTCCTTTTCCAGCACTTTTCCCCTTCTACTCCCTCCTGCCCACAGTAATTTTTTTTCCTGGAGTATGACCTGAAGATCAGGAACCTTACTGGCTTCTGGAATGTAAAGGAAAACTCTGAAATTCCCTGTAGCCTCACCTGCCTTCTCCATTCCTGTACCTCCCAAGGAAGACTGTGAGAGTCAGCTTGAGGGTTAATTCTTGTTGTTTCCTTTTCTTTCTTTTATTAAACATTTTATTTGTGAACCATCTCCCTAGCATGTCATCCGAGCCCAGCGAGCCATTAACAATGAGATGGCGCACCAGCTATATGTTCTGCAAGTGCTCACCTTCAACCTGCTGGAAGACAGGATGATGACCAAAATGGATCCCCAGGACCAAGTGAGTGTGCACTGGACAGCGGTCAAAGAACAGGAAGGAGAGAGAGTTTCATTAAAGGTCTTTTCCTGAGGTACCCCGAACTGGGGAGTTTCTGAATTTGAGATGATGTCGTTTTATTATCATCTCAGAACTTAGGGACATGGCTTCAAAATTAGGTGAATCTAGGATCAGAAAATAAACCAAATGGGTTCTTCCATTAGGCTCCAAATATGCATGGTCTGCCTTTATTGAATAAGAAAGCTTGATGTCACGTGACCACAGACCTTAGCCCTTGGCTCCAAATACCTTTAATGGTAATAGCTTAGGAGTCAGGTTCCCAGACAACTAGGGCCTCTTGGTGACTCTATGTGGCATTGATTCTGCAGGGTTGAGGCAGAAATTTTCATTCACCAGAGATCAGTGTCAAGAGCAGGGTCCCAGATTAAACCTGATTTCTGGGCCAGCTTTCTGTCGGTTAGCTATTGGCTGTAACTCTCTACTAGGTCTCTTGTTGTGCATGAAAGGTTATGTCTCCATTCAGAAGGCTTTGGGGACCTTTGCTGTGTGAGGGTAGAGTGAGAGGAAACAGCTGGGAATCCTGCCGTAGCACATTTTCAACTTAAACAGCGCTGCAGCTTTGGAAAGGAAAACACTCATTATTGGCACGTGAGGGCCTGATCTGTTGCAGATGTGAACCGCATATGTGAAGTGTGTAGCTGCCGCAGCACTTCATTCATGGAGCAAGGCCATGCGGTTAAGAATGATGGAGAGGTTTGAGAGGCTGTGAATGTGTGTTTTTGGCAAGGTATAGATTTCCCAGAGAGAAGAGACTGTCATCTTACTACTTCTAGTGACAGAGAGCAATGCATCTTAATATTGAATGACCCTCTTTGTTTGGAAACCCTTTTAAAATTTTATTTATATGTTTATTTTGTTGTGGTGGAATATATATAATATAAAGTTTACTGTTATAACCATTCTTAAGTGTACAGTTTAGTGGCATTAAGTACATTCACATTGTTATGAAACTGTCATCACCATCCATCTCCAGAACTATTTTCATCTTGGAGAACTGAAACTCTGTACCTGTAAAACACTGACTCCCCATTCTGTCCTCCTAGCCCCTGGTAACCACCATTCTACTTTCTGTCTGTGAATTTGACTACTCCAGGGACCTCATATAATTGGAATCGGACAATATATATATTTCTGTGTGTGGTTTATTTCACTCAGCATAGTAATCTTCAAAGCTCATCCACGTTATAGCATCTGTTGGGATTGCCATCTTTCAAAGGCTGAATAATATGCTATTGTATGTCCACACCACATTTTGTTCATCCATTTACTGTTGGATGGACACTTGGGTGGTTTGTACCTTTGGCCCTTTCTTTCATTTTTGTCCTATGTTTGTTTCCATGAATGTACTTAGTAGGGTGAGGCACTTTGGGTATCCCCAGTTTCCCTAGCTTAGCTTTCTCCAGTCACAACCCTTCCATCATATCTAGGCCTCTCAGTTAAGACTGCACTGGACTATCAATATTCATGCTCCAGATGACTACTTGGCTAAGAGGACCCCTGTGGAATACAGCCAGGCCTGACCAGCAGGGAGACTGATGGGGGAAGAACGGTCTGCAAAGCCCTAACTTAGGACATTGGTTCTCTTTTATCTGTTTTTCTTTTGCCTGAATGCAGTGATTCATTTAGACCCCAGGGAAAGAGGGAGTATATGTAATGTCACACAATTAAAGCAGCTTTTTCCCCTCCCTTTTCTTTTTACTCCTTGATTCCTTCAGGCTCAGAGAGACATCATATTTGAACTTCGAAGAATTGCTTTTGATGCCGAGTCAGAACCTAATAACAGCAGTGGCAGTATGGAGAAACGAAAGTCCATGTACACACGAGATTATAAGAAACTTGGCTTTATTGTAAGTAAGCCATCTCTAGTATGCTCTCCCTATAGCCTCCCCAGACCTGACCTCAGCCACAAAACTGATGTCTCTTCAGAGCGTGTGGTCCTCTTGTGCTTTACAGAATAGTTTCCACATTTCCAGATGTTTAGTTGGTTTAAACAGGATCACATGAAAATCTCTTCTGGCTTCAGTGAAATGGAATAACTTGCACAAGTGTGACTAATACTGAGTTTGTTTATTCAGTTCTGATTAAGTGTAACCAAGAGTAGTTAGCCCAGAATGCATCTCGACTTCATGAAATCTACTTCACAAGATGCTTAAGATTTGTGTTTGACTTAAATGAATGATGGCAGCTGTGGGATGGATCTTATTATTGTTTTAGTGAGTGGATTACTTACAAAGATCAATTTGATATCAAAGTCAAATTGAAAGTTTCCTGAAATTTAGTCATGATGAGATTAACACAATTTATGCTTTCTTAAAAGGTCTCTCTTGCTCTGAATGCAAATAGGTTGTCTCCTAGATTTTTGTTTGCAGTTTGCAACTTAGAACACAACTTGTCCCGAATATAAGCCATTATTTTTATTTCTACTTGGATTATATTCTTGATTTTATCCCCATGAAGTCTCTGAGTGACCTTCAGCTAATATCAAATTCTGCAGGTATAAATTTGGATTTCCATTTTAATCTCCATCATAAATAGCATGTCTGAGATCTTGGCTTCGGTGATTAGAAATTACCATGCATTATTTTATAATTTCAAATACTCTTTCCTTGAAAAAAAAATATATGCCATATGTGTGTGTGTGTGTGTGTATATATATTTGTGTGTATACATATACACACAGACACACCCAAAGATATATATACACAGTATATATATCTGTGTATCTCTACTAATATTAATATTTACACATATTTTGACAAATGGTATCATGCTTTATGTGTTATTGGAGAAGCCTTGTCTTTCATGGAAATATTCTTTGAAAATGTTTTTATATTACTTAACACGTACTGTTTCATTACTGATTTGTTTTTCATTATTTGGATGTAATACAGTTTATTTAACTGATGAGCCCTTTTGCTAAATGCTTCACTGCTTTGAAATTACCCATAAATTTATAATTAATATCTTGCAGCCCAGAATGTATGCACACCCATGATCACATTATTAGGATACATATGTGGAACTACACTTTGTATGAGACATATTTTCAAGGCTTTTGATACTGTCAAGTTGCTTTCCACACAAAGTAATGACCATTTTAACCATCAGTGGGTCAGACTGATCCTTTTTTTAACCCTCTCCAGTAGTGTTTCTTAAGCTAAAAAAACGCTAAAAACCTGAAAAACTAATCTGATAAGTTATTGTTTATATAGTGTTAGTTTTTAGAACAATTATTATAATTATACTTTAAGTAATGAGATACATGTGCAGATCGTGCAGGATTGTTACATAGGTATACACGTGCCTTGGTGGTTTGCTGCATCCATCACCCCATCATCTACATTAGATATTTCTCCTAATGCTACCCCTCCCCTATCTCCCTACCTCCCGCTGTACCTCTCCTAGCTCCCCACCCCTAAACAGGCCCGGTATATGATGTTCCTCTCCCTGTGTCCCCGTGTTCTCATTGCACAGCACCCACTTATGAGTGAAAACATGCGATGTTTGCTTTTCTGTTCTTGTGTCAGTTTGCTGAGAAGATGGTTTCCAGCTTTATCCATGTGCCTGCAAAGGACATGAACTCATCCTTTTTTATGGCTGCATAGTGTTCCATGATGTATATGTGCCACATTTTCTTTACCCAGTTATAGTGTTAGTTTTAATATGACATTTTAAATAAGAATACTTGTTGAATATTCAGCTTTGCAGTTTGCCTTGTAGAGGTATTCTGAAATTATTTTTATATGGTATTTTATATTTTGACCTTGGAATTCCATTTTATCTTTTGGTTGAATCAATTTTTAAAAATTTTAGCAAAAAGCGTCATGGCTGGTGGAGGAGGTGAGTTTCTTGTACTTGGGTGTTGATGACTGAAGCTCCAGGGTGGCAGTGGCCTTGCTGGCAGGGCCCCTTTGCCAGAGGGATGGTCCAGAAAGGTGGATGGGACTCCTTTTCTACCTCACCCTCAATTCCTTCCAAATTTTACTTTTATGTGGTAAGCACGATCTATCCAGGTCACTTGGGAAGCTTTGCAAAATCACCCAATCTCTCTTACCCTCAAGTCATATCAAAATTACCAAGAAAGAATCGGGGGATGTACATTTTGAAAATACTCTTAATTGATTCCTCTCCTGAGGGAGAGCCTGGTTCTAGGGTGCTCCTGTGACTGCAATTTCATCTTCCACCTCCTGCCAGTGCCTGGATTTCTTCTGAGCTATGTATAAAATCCAAAACCTGAATTCTTCCCATGTGCTGCCTCCAGGATGCATGTGTCTCTGTCCCTGTAGTGGTTTTCCTTGGGGGCAGTTGGCTCCCAGAATGCACAGTATGGAGGGACTGAGGAGAGAGGGAAATTGGGGAATGACCACATGGTGGAAATAGGATTAGTATAGAGTCTGGGTCTCTGTGAGGGCATCTGGAATGGGGGTGTGTGCTATGAAGCATCTCCTTTTTATTTTCAGGCCCTGTTCTTACGTGAAATGACCAGTGTATTCCATGAGCCGAATGAGTAAATTTTCTCAATGTAGCTCCATTCATCTTAACATTCTTGTTAATTCCTTGAACAGTTTTGTCTTAGGTGTATTTCTGTCTTTGTTTTCCCTGTCTGCTTAGTGTTCTGCTTCATGAATACAGAATGATAGGTTTGTGTTTTTTAAATTGAAAGTTAATTGGAGGTGGTTTTAAGGCCTTTAGCACTTATGATAACTTGAAAACTCATCCTACAAAAAGCAAAGACCCTGAACAGGGAAGAATCATAAGAGAGTGTGGGTTTTCTTTATTTTTCCATGGTTCTTTTTTCGTTTTTGATTTTAGCTCTTCTCCTGAAACTTCTCGCAGGCCACAGTCTTGCATCGGAAAGTTGGGAAGTTGGAAAGACTATTTAATAATGATTTTGAATGCTGAAAATGATCCAACAACTTTGACAAGCAGATATTTTCACTCTTGAATACCCAGCCAGCCAGAAATAGACAGGCCTCAGTAAACAGAATCACATGGTCATTGCACCACCTAGAGACAGTCTTGCAAAACTGCTGAAAGCTGGCTGATGATACCAGGGTCTGGCTGCAAAATCTCTCGATGCTGTAAGCAGTCCCGTGCAGAATTCTCTCTGTACTTCCCAAAGAGGAATCATCTTGCCTGTTAAACTCCTTACTGAACTTTAAGGATTAATTTGAGGTCTGGATCATCCTTTGGATCACTTAGAAGAAAAGTTCAGTTCATAAAATGAAGGCTGCTATTTCTCATTTTTTTGCTCCCAAGTAGGCAATGGCCAGGAAGCATCACATGACAAGGCTTTGGCGTTCACTGGGTCTAGATTTAATTTTAGCTTTTCTACTTTTGAGCCATGGGCCAGCGGTTCAGTCATTTAACCTCTGGGCATGGGTTTCCTCAGCTGTGAAACTGGGCAGCATCTTTTCTATGTTGAGATTATGGGAAGGCCCCACAGGACCGTCTGTTAGCGACTAGCACAGCGGCTGGAACCGAAGTGCACTCAGCCCGCGCTACTCCCCTTTCTTCCTTTTGGAGAGAACACCTCACAGAAATCATCTGCAGCTTTTTAAGTTTTCCAAGGTAAAAGGGGCCATTGCTCCAACAAGGCAAGAAGAACAGCATATTAAAGAACAATAAACCACAACACCTTTGGGAAGGCAGATGGATGGTACATTCCTTCTCAGCACAACTTCCCAATGGAGCAGATTTTTCTGTTAAAATAATTCTAAAGTCATAATCTAGGTGGCTGAGTTGCTTATAAGGTTAGTCATAACACAGAAAAGCACCTGCTTTTAAAACAAAGCTGCTTCATCTTCTGAGATCTCTTTTTTCTTTTCTTTCTTTCTTTCTTTTTTTTTTTTTTTTTTTGAGGTGGGGTTTCACTCTTGTTGCCCAGGCTGGAGTGCAATGGCCCTGTCTTGGCTCACTGCAACCTCCGCCTCCTGGGTTCAAGCAATTCTCCTGCCTCAGCCTTCCAAGTAGCTGGGATTATAGGTACCCGCCACTGCACCTGGCTAATTTTTGTGTTTTTAGTAGAGACAGGGTTTTACCATGTTGGCCAGGCTGGTCTTGAACTACAGCTATGAGCCACTGTACCCGGCCATCTTCTAAGATCTCTTTTACTGATTCTTTAGTTTCAAAATGGACAGGTGTTCATAGGTACCCTGGTGGGAGACAGAGTCTTGGTGTGTTGCCCAGGCTGGAGTGCAGTGGTGCAATCTTGGCTTACTGCAACCTCCATCTCCCAGGTTCAAGCAATTCTCCTACCTCAGCCTCCTGAGTAGGTGGGATTACAGGCCTGCACCACCACACCTGGCTAATTTTTGTATTTTTAGTAGAGATGGGGTTTTGCCATGTTGGCCAGGCTGCTCTCAAACTTCTAACCACAGGTGATCTGCCTGCGTCGGCCTCCCAAAGTGCTGGGATTACAGGTATGAGCCACTGTGCCTGGCTGGGATAATGCTATTCTTACTGGAACTTCTAAGGAAGGGCACGTGGATTCCTGAGAATGTTGGAAATCAGACTCACCTCTAGGTTGACTTTAGTTTGAGAACAGGGAAAGTGCTGTATACAAACTTGAATGTAGCCACCAAGCCCTGTGCACCAGGGCTTTCACACTCTGTAGAGTGTTGCATTCCTCACTAGAGCCACCTTCAGAATTGTCTCTGCTTTGATTTCCAGTTTGTATCTTCTCTATTTGTGAATTTTACCTTAATCAGTCCACTGGACGAGCATGAAAAAGGAGATGTCTGTAGTTCATCTTTCTGATCCCTTCTGAATCAAAGCAGATATTAAAATCAGAAAAAGCTTTTTTTTTTGTTTTTCTAGTTGCTTTGTTTTCCTTTCTCTTTTCTTG